GCGGACACCTCTATTAAGCAGACGCGGACACTAAAGCAAATTGTATTTGGCTAATTATAATTTCTATTGTTACAAACCTCTATTAAGTGGACTCCGAACTGAATTGACAATAGTAGTATTGGATTATGTCCTTGAAATACATACTGTAGTCAATTAATGAAGGTATACACCATAAATCAAAACATTTAGCTGTCAATAAACTGTAGATTAGACCTATATCTGGCCGTATGATTGTCATCCACGATTAAAGTCTTACACAAAGCACAGCGCAGCTTCCTTAGCTTTCTTAACAACACAGAACTTTATCATAGTACATAGGAACCGTTGAATATTAATTGCTAACAAACATTGCACGATTCTTGCAAACCTCTATGAAGCGGACACCATGTATTGAGCTTGCACTTGAGGAGGTCCCGAAGGTGTCCACTTAACAAAGGTTTCACTGTATTGTGAAATTGTTAATTCAGTTGGTCAGGGAATTTTTACAATTGTCAGGAAAAAGTCATGGAAAAGTCATGGAATTTCAGAAACCTCTGGCTTTAGCAACCATGCTTGAGCGACTGCAACCACTTTTTAGCCTGACAGTTGTATTATTTTTCCATTGTTTTTAACTTCTTATAAGCGACTAACTGATGCATGATGTGGTCTCTGATCGCTGATGTACTACAGTATGTCGCTTAGCGTATACGAAGAACTTTCATTGACGTTAGTATTTGGAACTACAATTACACAAATAGGTAACTTAGAATTAAAGGCAGTAAGCTTAAATTATATTCCACAAGGTAAATGTGTCAGGACCTCGCCTTGGAAGAGACGTCCTGTTTGTCTATTCCCATAATCAAACACCTCCTGTAAGCAATCAATAAATCTTTGTATTTTGGGTGGTTGCTTATGGGAAGTTTCATTGTATTTGTATCTAACAACTGTATCATTTAATATTCAACAAGGTATATTTTATTTCCAAATTTAATTCTTCATTCTGCAATTTGGATTTTCCTTAAATTTCAACCCAATTATTTTTCATTCAACAGCTTAGTTTACCAGTACATTTAACTACAACCGAAATAAGTTATGATCTTCAACAGAAATGAGTTTGACTTCAGTATTAAACTTTATTTTTTGTTCTTCAGCATAAGAACAACCCAACCCTATTATTACTTTATAAAAACAGATAATTAGTTTCTGGACACACCAACAAATTGCCACAATTTTACTTATCCCTACCCCTGCTGCTTACGATTCTACCCAAAATGATGTTTTCAAAATCTTCTGAAGCTGGAAGGGAGGAGTCCTCCTGAACTGAGATTGATCATTGCATTCATCGTGAATTATAGTCGCAACATCTTCTGCATCACGTGGCCAACCATTCACCACTTGAGAAATGAGATAGAAACTGGGACGAGTTAACTTTTGTTACGACTTCTGGCACTGTTACTAAAAACAGGTGGAAAATTGACCAATACCGGACTGGCGCCAGTAATAATTCCACAAACAACTGCGGTACGCATTTCCGCTCCGGTTTCCTCGTTTCCTAAAATGCCGAAAAAGCTAAGGGTCCATGGCTAAAGCCAAAGGGTAAGCGGACTAGAAGCCTGATATTTCAGATCTCCTGTGTGTTGTTTTAAGTATATGTTTACACGGTAATTCTTTTCAGGGTTTGCTTTTGTCAATACAGTATTCTAAACCATTGTACTGGTTTTATTCTCAGGGTCTGGTAGTTATTGGACTTCTCCTGTTAAAATAAATCTCAACCATTGCTGTTTGGAGAGATCCAAGTTGACAGGGGAACATAAATTCCTTCTGACATATGGTTTCATAATTTTAGACAAGTCTAAAACAAGAACAAACAAGGGAAAGATAAAAACAAACAGAGAGGATTCAAAGCTGTTTCAACGTTGAGATGAGACCTTGTAAATACAAATATAGTGATAAGTGCTTTAAACAGTCTACACACTGCAGAGATCATGAACTTACCCACACAGGAGAGAAACCATATAAGTGCAAGATTTGTGATAAGTGTTTCAACCGCTTGTCAAATTGCAAACGACGCGAAATTACACGCAAAGCAGTAAAACCTTATAAGAGCAAGTACTGTGAGAAGTGTTTCAATAACAGGCCCGTAAGCAGGGGGGTGCACGGGGTGCGTTCGCACCCCCCTACAGGCCCCAAAGGTCCGCATTTTGATACTCAATATCCAAGTTATGGAGTGCAGTCAGTTAAACTGAAGTTTCAAACTTAACATTGATATTTAAGGCGGCTGCATACATATAACAGGGCATGCATGGGCCAGGAAAGGCTGTCGTCCCCCGCACTAATGCACATACATTATCAAGTTAAAATTGTTTTGGATGAAGTGGTAAATCTGTTTGCCACCAAACACCCACACGGAGGCTGGAGCTCGGGACTATTCTGAGGGATTAGTTCCACAGTATTTTGATGTACCATTTTACATCGTATAAATTACTCCTTTATAACTTAATTCAAACAGTTGTATTCGACAAATGTA